TGTTACAAGCCTTTACCCGTTTTGTAGTGACCCTCTCTTGGCACCCGAGCTTTCCTTAACACTCTTGAGAAATAATTGGCTAAAATATAAGTTTAGGGGAGAGATGAGGAGTTTGATAAAGGTACCAAGGCACAAAAAGAGAAGAAGTGAAAAAAAGGGAAGGCAAGAAAAATGCAAAAAGAACAAAAAGAAAAAAAATGCAAAAAGAAAGTGAATAAGTTGAAAAATTGAAGGGATTTCAAAGAATGGTAATGATGCAAAGCATGAAAAAAACAAAGAAGGAGAAAATGAATATCATGACCAAGAAAGAGTGATGTTAAGTCTTTCTAACCCCCCCTATGGGAAAGAAAATGCCTCCTAAAAGTGGCATAGCATGAGCCGATAAGAGAAAATGGAGTGCTTAAGGAAAGATGAACCCGTTCTATCCTAGTATATCCAACCTTAGTTCAAAAGCCTTCATTACATTCTCATAAAGCCCTGCGTGATTTCAAGCAGAGTGAGCTTACATTAGTGGTGATTAACATGAGGGGCAAGCCAATGGTACTTAAAGTCGTACTTGCGACATTCTTTTGAGAGAAATGAGCGAACCGTTCACAAAACTTTGAGTTGAGTGCTACATTCATAAGTGAGGTGCAAACGTAGAGTAGAAGAGGAGGAGTTTGGGATCCACAATAACCTACATAAAAGAGCGAGCTTCCTTGATGAATAAAGTCAACTCTTGATGCTCAAGTATCACATTAGAACTATCTATGCTTAAAAATTCAAATCATTGTCTTGTTGATAATTCATAAGTGTTGTAGGTAATTATTGGTCCCAATTGATATGTGATTGATGAATCTTAGATTAGCTGGAATAGCTCTTAACTTGTGGAGGTAGGAATTACCTTNACTTAAAACTTCAAATCATTGCCTTGTTGATGATTCATAAGTGTTGTGGGTAATTGTTGGTCCTAATTGATGTGTGTTTGATACACCTTAGATTAGTTGGAATAGCTCTTATTTTATGGAGGTGGGAATTACCTTATTTGCTTGAGGACAAACAAAAACTTAAGTTTGGGGGAGTTGATAAGTGAGGATTTTGACTACTTATTAGCGCTTTTTAGCTCTCATTTTAGTCCAAAAGTATTTAATTGTATTCCCGAAAACTGATGAAATATGATTAATTGCATGAGTATTAGAAAATGAGCCACTAACATGAAATCCAACTAAAAAAGGAGTGATCTGAACTCAAAGATAAAAATCAGGCATAGAAGCTCAAGTGCGGACCGTATATTTTCATCTTTGGCGGAGAATGTGAAGGAAATTTAACAAAGTCCAAGTGCAAAGTGTGGACCGCACAATTATTGTGCGGCTGCAGAAGCTATGCAAGAGCTAAAGTTCAGAGAGTCTCATTTCAAGCTCAAAAAGAAATGTGGACCGCACAATAATTGTGCGGCTGCAGAAATCAGCTATGCGGCCGCACTCAAAAATGTACGGTCCGCAAAAGAGCCCTATGCGGGCGCACCAAGAATTGTGCAGACCGTAGAATATGAGAGATGAGGCCGCAATCCAGAATTGTGCGGCCGCAGAGTCAACTCATGTCAAGACTGAAGAGAAGTGCGGACCGCACATGGAATTGTACGGTCACAAAACCTCTGAAAGGGCATTTTTGTCCAAAAATTCCAGCTTTGTATAAATAGACTAGTTTCACTAAATTAGATCAAGTTGGAAATATTGAAAGTCGTGTATCCATTTTTACTTGCCTCTTTGGGCAACTTTAGCTTACTTTGATGATTTAACATTGGATTTTTATCTTTTAATCATGCAATATGAGTTTTATCATCTTTTCTTCTTTATTTTTTTCTATACCCATTAGGAGTAGCTATATTTCTAACTAGGGTTGTCACCCAACCTTAGTATGTAAACCTAATGTGTGTTTGATTTATGGCTAGTTTATGGTTTGAAGTTTATTATTTAGCCTTATTCTTGCTTTTTATTGTAGAATTAATGGTTGCAAATATTAGTTCATGCCTAATTGACTTGGCCTCTTCTTGAGAAAGAGTGGCTTAGTCTAGAAAAACTTGGCTAATGAGAATTTGGAATAAAATCAAGAGATTGATAGTCCCAATCAAAGGGTTGAACCTAGAGAAAGTAAAATCCGACTTGAGCATTTTATCAATTGTTTTGTTCAATACCCATTTGGACTTGAGAAAGCCAAATTGGGCAAAATCACTATCTTACCGAGAAGTATTGAGTGGGTACTTGAGTGTTGATAGTTATAATATACCCCGACCAACGAAACAAGCTTTACAGTTTATAACCCATTAGGCAAACACCTAGGTGGAGGTCATAGCCCTAGGTCTTTTACACTATTTGAATGCAACAACAAAAATAATTTCTTAGTTTTAATTATTTATCTTGCAATCTTAGTTTAAACTAGATCTAGAATCAACCAAATCTTGCGGAAGTGTAATTTAAGATAGTTCAAGCTCATTCACCATAATATATACTTCTAAATCCCATTCATATAGCTCCATGTGGAATTCGACCCCGACTCTCTGTTGGGTATTACTATTGCATCGACCGTTTCATAAACTCAAATAGAGGTGTGACTTGGACGAGATCAATGATCTTAGTATTCACAAGGTCATCAGAGATATAACAACCTTACGTCACTCCTAAGGAAGTCCTAAAGATCTTAAAAGGTTCTCTAAAACTTTTACACTTTCATGAGAATAAGAGTTGATGTTATATATATATNCCGGTTGGGAAGTTTTGCATCTTCATTTACCATCGAGCTACGATTGGTTGGGCATTTATGCATCTTAATTAATTACCACCGAGCTATGGCCGGTTGGACAGTTATGCATCCTTATTTACCACCGAGCTATAGCATGTTAGGCAGTTGCACCTTCATTTACCACCGAGCTACGGCAGATTGGGCAGTTACGCAATTACCACCGAGCTACGGCCGGTCGGGCAGTTACCACTGATCAATTGGGTAGTTAATATCACGACAATGATATAGTCATAACTATGGCATTGTATATATATATATATACACACACACAAAAAAAAGCACGGGATTGAACTTATTATACATGTTATGGCCCTCAACGACAAGTCAGAGGTTACATGTTGACTCTTATCCCTCTCAATGATAGTATCTTACTGTCATGTTTCATTTATGCCTTATATACTCGGTACATTCTTCGTACGAACGTTCCTTTGCATGTGGACACTGCATTCATGATTGCAAGTGCAGGTAATCAGTTTGACGAGCCCACGCAGTAGATGAGGTTGGCATTCAATGAAGAATCGGTAAGACTCCACTTCATTTGGAGTACAACCGAGTCTATAAGTCATGGTGTCATAGTTTTGTCACAGATTTATGAATAAGCTGGGGTCATGTCCCAACCATGTTTCGATGTCATATACTCTTAGGGGCTTTGCAGACACATGTTCATTATATACAGAGTAGTTTATGTTTTAGTTTACGTTGAATGATCATGAGTTATAGAGTAGTTCGCTCGGGCCGGTACGACACCAGGTGCCAGCCACGCCTCACCTAGGTTGGGGCGGGACAATGTTTTCTAGCTTGTAAGCTCATTCTTTATTCGCAACAACTAAATTCTCACTATATTTAAATCTTATTTGGCCAAACTGCCAAAAATTACTCATTTTAAAAAGTGCTCTTGTTTAAAAGTACTTTTCGGAAAATACTCTTGAAGAGTAGAAGTTTATATTTGACCAATTAATTTGAAAAGTACTTTTTGTAATATTCAATAAGAAAATTATGTATGACCAATCTTTTCAAAAAAAGTACTTTTAAGTGTCAAATTACTAAAATGACAGTATTAATGTTCAATTTACAACTAATGTTACTTAAAAAAAAGAAATAAATTTAAATATTTCTTGTAAAAGAGTTTAATTAAATATTTTATTTAAATAAATTATAAAACATAAAGTTAAAATATATATTATATTATATTACATGTTAACCCAAAAAAAAAAAAGATCCTCAGCTTTTCCTGTTTGACGTTCAAAGGAAAGATAGGTTGAAAGTTTTTTTTTCCTTTAGGGCAGTCACCCGCTAAGAAATACATAATTTGCGTAAGGAACATATGTGCTACACATTACATGAATGAAAAACACTATTTGTTTTTGAGAAAACAACAAAATAGGTAGTATTGCATTTTGTCAACTATGTATGTACGTCAAATAACAACAACAATAACGATCCAGTAAAATCCTACTAGTGGGGTCTGGGGAGGGTAGTGTATACGCAGACCTTACCCCTGCCCCAAGGGGGTAGAGAGGTTGACCCTCGGCTCAAGAAAATAAGACTAGACAATATATCAGTACCATCAACAGAAACCAAAAGAATAATAATAGCAACATAAAAGCCACAAAAATAGATGAAAACAATAGCAATAACCAGTAAATAGGCCCGGCACTATAAAACGAAAGAGTAGTGAGAACACAATATTAATCACTAGCAGTCTAAGATAAAAATTCTATCAGACTAGCCTCACATAGTTACGACCCTACCCTATAACCTTAATACTCAACCTCCACAGCTTCCTATCAAGGGCCATGTCCTCGGAAATATGAAGTCGCGCCATGTCCTACCTAATCACCTCTCCCCAATACTTCTTAGGCCGCCCCTACCTCTTCTCATGCCTTTCGGAGCCAGCCACTCACACCTCCCCACCGGTGCATCTGGGCTTCTCCTCTGTACATGCCCGGACCATCTGAGTCTCACTTCCCACATCTTGTCATCAATGAGAGCCATGCCCACCTTCTCCCATTTATTATTATTTCTAATCTTATCCATCCTCGTGTGTCCCCACATCCACCTCAACATCCTCAATTCTGTTACTTTCATTTTCTAGATATGTGAGATCTTAACTGGCCAACACTCAGCCCATACACCATGGCAGATCTAACCACTGCTCTATAAAACTTACCTTTGAGTAACAATGGCACTTTCTTATCATATAAGGCTCTAGATGCTAACCTCTACTTCATCCACTCTACCCCAATACGGTGTGTGATATCCTCATCGATCTTCCCTTCCCCTTGGATAACCGTACCAAGGTACTTGAAACTACCTCTACTAGGGATAACCCAAGATTCAAACTTCACATCCATGCCCGCTTCCCTCGGCTCGACGCTGAACTTGCACTCCAGGTATTTCGTCTTGGTCTTGCTCATCTTGAAACCCTTAGATTCAAGGGCCTGTCTCCAAACCTTCAGCCTCCAAACCTCCAGCCTCTCGTTAATACTGCTTCGTATATAATCAATCAGAACTATATCATCCGCTAATAACATACACCATGGAACCTCCCCTTGAATATGGTGTGTAAGTGCGTCCATCACTACGGCAAATAAAAATGGACTGAGCGCAGATCCTTGGTGTAACCCCATAATAACCGAAAAATGCTCTAAGTCGCCTCCTATAGTCCTAACCAGAGTCTTAGCTCCACCATACATGTCCTTAATCACCTTAATGTAGGCAACCGACACACCTTTTGCCTCAGAGCATCTCCAGAGAACCTCTCTATGAACCTTGACATACGCTTTCTCCAAGTCAATAAACATCATGTGCAGATACTTCTTCATATCCCAATACTGCTCCACCAACTGCCTAATAAGATGGATAGCTTTCGTAGTAGAATGACCCGGGATGAAATCATACTGGTTGTTAGATATAGACACCGTCCTCCTTTCCCTCACTTCTACCACCCTCTCCCAAACATTCATGGTATGACTCAGTAGTTTGATACTAATATAGTTATTACAACTATGGATATCACCTTTGTTCTTATACAACGGAACTACCGTACTCCACCACCACTCATCCGGCATCTTCTTCATCCTAAAAATAACATTAAATAACCCAGTCAGCCACTCCAAGCCTGCTCTTCCCACACACCTCCAAAATTCCACCGGAATTTCGTCTGGCCCGGTCGCTTTGCCCCTACTTATCTTACGCATATAGCTCCCACGACCTCCTCAACCTTGATGCGCCTACAGTATCCAAAGTCACAGTGACTCTCGGAATGCTCCAACTCACCTAGCTCAATATCCCGATCCCCTTCTTCATTCAGAAGTTTATGAAACTAAGTCTGTCATATCCTTTTAATCTAGGCCTCACCCATCAATACTCTATCGTCCTCGTCCTTGATGTACCTTACTTGGTCCAAATCCCGAGCCTTCCTCTCTATCACCTTGGTCAGCCAGAATAACTTCTTCTCCCCACCTTTGTCCCCCAGTTCCTCGTACAGACGACCAAAAGCCGCAGTCTTAGCTTTTATGACCGTCGGCTTAACCTCCTTCTTAGCTACCTTATACCTCTCCCTGTTCGCTCTCATCTCCTCCTTACATGTTCTCCCTACTAACTCCAGGTATGCCGCCTTTTTCGCTTCCACTTTACCTTGAACCACTTCATTCCACCATCAGTTGACTTTGTGCCCGCTAGAGTAGCCCGTCGAGACCCCTAACACCTATCTCACAGCCTCCCTTATACGGTATGCCATCGTCACCCACATAACGCTCGCATCCCCGCTACTACTCCAGGCTCCCATAGCCGCTAAACTCCCCTCCAACTCCTGAGCTTTATCCTTAGTTAATAATCCTCACCTGATCCTCGATCGTCCTCGTACATACCTCTTCTTCCTCTTTAACCTAATACTAACGTCCATCACTAAGAGCTTATGTTGCATCACGAGGATTTTACCTGGGATAACCTTGTAATTCTTGCACAGCCCTCCGTCACATCTCTTGAGGAGAAGATAATCAATCCGAGATTTTTTCCATCGCACTTCGAAAAATAACCAAGTGCTCCTCCCTCTTCAGAAAACTAGAGTTCGCAATCACCAACTCAAAAGCCTTAGCGAAATCCAACAGCGAAGTACCTCCTCCGTTACTATCCCCAAATCCAAAGCCGCCATGCACCTCGCTATAGCTACCTGCAGCCGACCTAATATGTTCATTGAAATCCTCTCATACAAATAACATCTTAGCATGCGGAACATTACGCACAATCTCATCCAACCCCTCTCAGAAGTACTTTTTAACCTCCTCATCCATGCTCGCATGCGGCGCATAGACGCTAACGACAACTTAATAGTCATTAATCTATCATTCACCCGCCAAACCTCAATCACAAACTCTCTAAGATCCCTATCCACTAGAATACCTACTGCATTCTTACCCTTCCGGATTCTAGAGTACCAAAGCTTACACCCGTCCGCATCCCTTGCCTTCGATCCTACCCCCTTGTCTCCTGGACACATGCTATATTAACCTTCCTCTTCTGGAGGATCTTTGCCAACTCTATAGACTTACCCGTCAATGTTCTAATGTTCCATGACCCAATTCTCAACCTATAGGCTCCCTTGTTCCCCTTACCTGCCCTGCCTCCTGCCCCACCCACTGTCCCCTGCCCCCCCGAGAACATGACCTTACTCTACCATCCCAGACTACAACCACTATACCTATGACAGACTAAGGAAATCACTAACACACAAGAGGTAACAGACCAAACTAAAAGAGAACAAGTGGTAACTGCAGACCCGCTAATATGGAGCTTAAACTAATGCGAACTAAAACGACAATAATCTAGCTAACACAAATAAGAGTAACAGGAATACAGGAAGTACCAACTCCCACGAATGGAACTTGGAGATTGTCTTGATGCACACGACGATGTTGCGACACCTGGCGCGTTCCCGTCCAAATTCCTGCTGCCCCTTGCTGACACTCTTCCAGGTTGTTCTCCAATGTTAGCAAGCACACGTCCCGCTCGTCGCCAATAACCCTCGACTCTTACCTGCAATACACACAAAACACCACGGCACCAAGAAAGAGGGGGGGTTATCACCGCTAGCACTGGTGAAAGCCCTAGCAGTAGCAAAGAAAGGAAAAAGGAGAGGAAAATAGGAGAAGGGGACCGGAGGGGAGGGAGAAAAATAGTGGG